CCTGTGGGTAAGAATGTCTTGGGATGTCCTCATGAAATTCCTTGTAACTGCAGTAATCCCTCCATACCTGTATCTGTGAGCCTTATGTGTCTGATTCTGATTCAGGTGTTTGTTTCTTGCTTGTAAACAGTTGCAAGTGGCCTGATTTTACTTCCTGGGAATGTTGACAAACTCTTGTGACAGGCATTGGTTGGCTTTCTGACAGAAAGCAGATACTCTTTCTAAAAACTACCTAGTTTTTMTTTTCTATTGTTTGCTTTCCTATATTGCAAACTCAATCCCAGGGAGCATGACCCAGCCCATGGCAGGATTCCATCAGGGTCCAGGCCCATCCTGTGTTCTTTTTCTGGTGCCACCAGTGTTCAACAGGAATTAAATTCCATTGTGAATTTGTACCATGGCTATRTGGAGATGTCTCTAACTCCAAATGGGGCCCACCATTGTTTGTACATAGTTTTTCAGTCCTCTGCCTTCCCTTCTATCTTCTCAAACAACATCCATATGGGAGGTTTTTGATTTTCTGTGTCAGACCTGGAGATGGGATCAAATGTCACTTGTTAGCCTTTTTCAGCATTTGTTGCATTCACAGACCATGAGAATTCTGTGCTCCACCAGGGCCATGAGAACCATTGCCAGGTTTGGACTTGATGGACCAATTTTCATTTTCACTGCTATTAGAGTGAAAAAGAATCCTTTTAGATGCCAAACCTGGCCCTCAGTCTGATCACAACTGGGGTTGATCACATGTTCTGACTTGATTCCAGCATTCCCCAGTGCCTCAGTGACTTTTTAGAAAAATATGTTCCATTTGAAATTAAACACKGGTCATAGTAGTGTCCATTTGTGTAGCGGGTTCCACCCCAAAATCTCCCAGTGGATGATCTTTATTTCTTCCTTTTGATTTCTCTCAGGTACAAGAAAAATGCCTCTTATTTTATAAATAGTAAATTCTTTGTCARCTTTCAGTTATTAAAAATATGCTTCCTTCATGCAAATTGCTATTATATTTAGCGAGATTGATGCATCTGTTTATCCTGAGACTGACAGCAACCTGAGGTAGAACATGAAAAGGTTTGTAGCAAATTATTCCATTTTTCTCAGAAWGACTCTCATCACTTAAACACTCCTGCTCTCAGCTGTACCATTTGCAAGGACTGGCAGGATACAAAGCAAAAGTACTGTTTGCTTTATGTGGAAACTTTGCTACTCTTGGGATCAGCTCGAGTAAAGCTGGAAAATATGATAATTGTATTTTCCTAGCCCAGTGCAAASTAGGCCAGCCCAGGTGGCACCATGAGCTGTGCACAGTGCCCAGTAGCACKCAGTGCCAAATTGTGCAGAGCTGCTTGTGGCTGCGAGGAGAATCAGGGCAGAGGTAATTCCTGCTCCTTTGGTCTATCCACACACACCAGTGCCTTTTGTGTGGGATCAGTGATGGAGCTGGAGCAGAGCTGSGAGCTGGTGAGGACCTTAACAATGCTTAACAATCACACTTTATCAGAGATAAATGGAGTTTATGTGTAAATTAATCCAAACATCTTGTTTCTGTGCTGCATTAGAAATTGAGCATTATTCACCACACCAATTAATAATTTGCCTTAAAGCCCTGCAGTGACATTTGGAAACCTGGCATCTTCATGTTCCTTACACAGGAAAATGTCCCAGCAAAGGCAGGACCAGCATCTCCTTTCCTGACACCCAAGGYTCTGGAGTTTTTGCTGTGTTTGAGAGAGATCTTATTTAGACTTCAGATTTGTTATCAAAATTAGTGTGAACATGTGAGCTGTCTGCAGTCCTGCTTTTCTCTGGTGTTCTTCCTGTTGGTCCTGGTGCAGATCAGSTATGGACAAAGCACTGTCTGCCCCTCACATCCATCAGACCCAACACCTCCTCTTGGCTTTATGATAATTTCAAAGTTATGCATTGATATAGTTTGTGCATTAAACAAAAATGATTTTTTTTGCTGTGTATTGGGGAGMTTTTCAAGGATGGTTTGCTAATGTTCTCTGCCCATTTGCATGTGTTTTCTGGAGCTCAGCCATCACATGTCCTGTATGGTGAGCTTAGTGAAGTTTACAACCTCATCCTCCCTAAAAATGGCTTTCCCTCAGTTTAGAACATATTTCCTCATAGTTTATTGTCTGAGAAGGCTTTTAGCATAAACAGGAATGGATAACCTTTTCTATGTCATTGCTGGAGCAAATTTAGTAGGAAATTAGATCCTTAGGAAAAGGTTTTGTGGGATGATGTTCAAACCTGCACAGTCTAATTAATTGTTTGATTTGTCAAGGTTTTATAATTTCTGCAGAGCCTTATTAAATACCATGAATAACTTCTTGCTTTCACTCCTCTTAGACTACATAGGTCTGTTGAAAATGTCCTCTTGTGCATAAGGATAGAATGAGTTGCTTTGTTAGAACTTCTGAACTTAATCGACAATTTCTATTGATTTTGGCATTTAAAGGCAACARACTGTGACAGAATTAGACAAATGAGACCAGAATTTGACAAAAATCTTGATATTTGGCAGTTTAAGGAATGCAGTTTCAGATTTTTTAGCCTATTTTTTGCAGATTTTATTTAGATCATCTACATTTTGCTATTGATGAGAAGCCTGTTGCAWTGAGAATTTGTTTAAAAGTAGCTGTGCTAGACAAAGCAGGAATATCTAATGTCAGGTGAGTGAGGACAGAGTTTGTATCCCATTATTTATGTGTTTTGGTGATGGGCACACCTAAAACCATGTGGGTTGAAGCTTGCTTTARACCTGTGCATTGAAATACTTGGGGTTCCACCTTAGGCAGATGCTGTTTGGAGATTAAAACATACCCAGAAGACACAAGGGGGTGGGTGACTTCATGGGAAAATATACAGATCAGGTCTTGAAATCATTTTCTAAATGCATTTATCCCTCTGCATCCTCCCCAGCAATGACACTGGAACATTCCTTTAGCTATTACATGAGGCAGAATCTCCTTCCCAAAGTGTTGGAATGTGCAGTCGATCCAGACATCCCATGGCTGAAAAAAAGGCAAGGACCTTTTTTTCAAATCACTGTGTGATTTTTATAATTTTTAAATGAATCACAATGCTCTGGGCCTGTGGCCTCCAAACCATTTGTACTCCTGCAATGAACAGATAACTTGTAATTAATGGAAAGTATTAATGCAAATTCCAGTAGAATGAACACATATAAAACTCTAGTGAAACATTGGAGTAAAAMCCCTTTCTCTTGTGCTCTTGGAGCRTGTCAGCTGTGGAGGGAKTGATATAATATAATATGTTGACACAGTGAAACCAGTTATTAAAAGAGGATTAAAGATACTCTGCTTGAAGACTGAATAGTTCTGCTTTGGTTTTTTTGGTCAACAGACAGTTCCAGGATTTCAGGGTTAATTCCAAATGTCATGTTTTGCCACTATTCATTGATGGTTGCAAATAGCTAAGTTAAAAAAATAGAAAAAGAGAACAAAAGAGGTTTCAGATATCYTAGTACACTCCAGGAAAGCCTGCCAAATCTCCAGAAAACTCAGCTTAGGAACTGAAGCTATTAAAATCCCAACTCTTTATAAAACTTTCATTTTATTGCACTTTCATCCTAAGGTATTTAATAGAAAATGTTGCACATAGGATGTTATACACTCTCCAGGCCTTATCTGCTAGATCCCTGTTTGTGTGACTACAGCAATTTCACATCAGATCCCACTGGAACATTCTGCAGGCACTCAGGAATGGGTCAGCTCTAGGGCTGGGTGAGCATGTGTTCTCCCTCCCCACATCAGGAAATCTCTGGGCTCTCACACTTACAGCACAGCAAAGAATTTGGGTGAAGGTAACAGCAAATAAAAGGGCTGCAGATGCAATGTGCCACACAGTTTTTAATAGTGGTGAAACAAAGGGAATGAAGCAGTTTTGGAACACATTGCTCTTGCTCTGACTGTTGGGACTTCAATTAAGGCTTTGCTTTTAGGAGAGGGATGTGGAAGGAAAGGGAAAAATCCTCCACAGCACAGTAAGTTTTGCCTGTTAGCAGTTAAAGGTAAAGCAATAGGAATTACTCAGTAATAAATCCTAAACCAGCAGTGTAAGAATTAAATAGCAAAGAGGGAGATGGTGAGTGATTAAAACATTGGACAGACACTCCATCTTTTGGATTCTGTCCTCTCCTGGTACACCAGAGAGTCCAGGAGCTTTCCAGAGAGTCCAGGAGCTTTCCAGAGAGTCCAGGAACTTTCCAGAGAGTCCAGGAGCTTTCCTTGCCTCCTGAGTGCCTCAGGTGAAGGCAACTTGTTTATGGCTCTGGGGAATCCTGAAAATGTGGAACCCGTTCCCCCTGGAGTTATGGAATGTGGATGGGCTCCTCTTTTTCACAGTGAAAAAGCAAGCAATCATAGCCACACTGGCTGGAGCTGTTCTTCATTGAACAGATTCACTGCCATGATGTTTTACTGTTTGCTTTGTGCAGTTTTTATGGGCCTCAGCATTATGGATTTTGCAGTTAACTGTTTGAAAGGAGGCAGAAGTGATTTCCCAGGAGTGCACCTTTCTTCCCACATTTRTTTCATATTGCAGTGGGGATAGTTGGAAATGTAAATGTGTAATGTTTACTGTCTCATTATTGATAAGAGACACACCCCACTCCCCTCACCCCCAAAAAAATCCTCTGCACATGTCATGAGATATCTCCTGTATCTCTCTTAGGGCAGAATCAGGGCTGTACGTGCTCTTACTTTGTGTTGTTGTGTGATGTTGTGTCTYGCTGTTACTGCTCAAAAGTGCTCAAGGCATGGGATTTTAAATAACTTCTCTGTATTACTGTGAAAAACTAAAAAAACAAATTTAAATAACAACATKCTGACACTCTTTGAAATGAAAAACWYWTTTCTTTTAACTTAATTCCCCTTGTCCTGTGCCCATTATTTTTGACTTTCTCATCAAGAAAAGTTTCTTAAATCAGCTTTGCTTTACCTTAACTGAAACATTTGTTTCAATTTAKATGGGTTCTGTACCCAGTGGTGAAGTTCTCCCTGAGCAAGCCCCTCTGAAGGAAACTCAAAAAAAGCAGGTGGGTGTGACACCATTGTTTTGGATGGGCTTGGAACAACCTCATCTAGTGGATGGTGTCCCTGCCCATGGCATGGATGAGCTTTTAGATCCCTTCCAACTCAAACCATTCCAGGACTCTGTGATTTTTTAAAAAACTCTCCCTGTTATTGCTCACCACCTGTCCTATATGCTTTGAAACACCATTGGTGTGTAGCAAACTCCACACTGGGTGGTATTTCCAGTGTCCAGTTCAGGACAATGCCAAGGTGTGAAACACCCAAAGGAGACCCCAAATGTCCCTGAGCACCACTMAACAATGTTATCTCAGGGGCAGAGCACAAAACTGAGGAGTTTCCATTTAAATGGCAGATTGTTTTGAAGTGCAATGTGTGCAGTATGTAGGTCAGAGCTGAAGGGATAGACTGGATCTGCAGAGGTGCTGAGGGTGATTCATTTCCCTGGGCAGAACACTCTGGATTTTTTCTTCACTGTGCACTCAAGTTAAACTGTGCTTTCTCATGGACAATGGGCTCAGGTTTTGGACCATCTGCCTGAAAGGGGGATTTATCCTGGCAGCTGCTGTAAGGGAAACCCTTGTGCATTGGTATCAGTTTGTGCATTTTTTTTTTTTTTTTTTTTTTTTTTTTGCTGCATATTGGGGAGCTTTTCAAGGATGTTTTGTTAATGTTCTCTGCCCATTTAGGCATCAGTGAGAGGTGATATTGGGTGCTTTCCAGCAGCTGCCAGGCACCACGGAAGGTGTGGATCAAACTCCTTTCACTGCCTYAGCAGCAATACCTAATTTCCTGTGGAAAACTCTGCCCTCACAGTCCTTAGCTCTTTGTCTCATACCCAGCTCCAGTCTGTATTGCCAAACAAGAGATGCTAATGGGGTAATATTATTTTAAACACAATAAAATCCAGCCTCATGGAATACTTAGGTAAGAGTTAAAATCTCACTAACTCTCCTTTATAAGAGCATGAGCCTTGTTTTCCTTCTTCCCCTTATTCCCAAACAGCCTGAACTTTTGTCTCCAGCAAAACATTTAAAAATTGGCTGATAGGAAGTTTAAATGTCAGTAGAACAAAGTCTGGAAAAAATTACTTTATCTTCTAAAATATTAACTTGAGATATTCCAAACTATTAACTCTCAAATAGCCTTTTATTGTTTCTTTTTTGCCACTTTGGTGTTTGCATATGCAGGAATGGATTTTTTAAATGGATTCTGTGATTGTTGCATAGCCTGTCTTCTCATGCTTTAGAGATTAGTATGGTCCTGAAATTGTCCAAAGGAACATGTCTTTAGGGCTGGCTTTTATTGGGATTGCAGGATGTCTGACCACAAGCCCTGCCTTCTCTCTCCTCAGTTTTTATATTGTCACCCACTCAGGAGTCCCTGAGAGATGAGAAGCAGGTGGAGGGATTATKCTCAGGGCAGACAGTGAATGTGTGCTGTGCTGCAGAGATGGTTTAAAGATGGTTTTGCTCAATMATTATCTCAGCCATATTTTCAAACACATTTTGGCAAGTTCCTCCAATGCTTCTGCTAGGTCCACGCGTAACTTGTTTGTATCCTTGGAGTAGAGCTTCATCATTTGAAAGGAGCCTTGCAAACAGTGCCATTTAGTGAATAAAATGTGTTTTCCTGAAATCTTGATGGATTGATTTCTTGCCTCTGTAGCTTTTTCTGGCAGCTGCCCCATTRTGGAGTTGTGCCTTCTGGGTCAGAGATGAAAGGAGCTGGCTGTAACCCTGTGCWACTGAAACCCTTTTTCCAAAGGTACAGTAAAATTTTAGCTGTTGAAATGCAACTTTGCCTGCTCAGTAAARCCTATGAATTCATATTTTTGCAGCAGAGAGAATATTTGGAATTTTTGTTGCTGGGCACCTTTGGTTGCTGCTGGATTTTTGAGGTGTCTAAGTCAAAAATTCTCTCTTTTCATTTTGACCTCTTTTTCATGAATCATGGAAAAAAAACATTATCTGGGGTTCTGTTTGTGTATAAGTGTATAATTTCCAAATATCTTCTGACCCAGTAGGATTCATGTTATATTGGAAAAAAATACTGTTAAGGATACTTACAGAGGTTTTACATTGAGAACTACCAATTTTTCTCAGACCCACCTTTAAAAGATTGTTACTCTGTTGACAGCTCTTGGGGTCTGAAATATTTTCAGTATTTATGGTAGAAATGGCATCACAGTGTTAAGATAAATGCTTCAATCCTGAAGCAGAGTTAGGAAGTGAAATGACAGGAAAAAATACTGAGAAGTAGAATTTTGTATGTTTTTGTCACTGCTCAAATCACACCCAAATCCAAGGGCTGTCTCATTTTCAAGCAGAATTTTCAGTTCTGCAATACCCTTTTAAAATTCCAGATTTCAGCTGAAGYTCAAACTATTAAACCAGTATGAAAGAATCTGTGCTGGAGAGATTTCCAGCCAGCTTGAAACACAACCAGTACTGGAATTTTCATTTGAAAAATCTGATCTTGCAAAACTGCTCTKTGTGTTTCCAGGCCATTAAAGTCTGGACAATTCTAAGATAAGCAACTAAACCCCATGGATTTCTTGCAGCTAAATCTGACTTGCAAGGATTCACTCACACCACAGGCAAACCTCCCATGTTAGAAGCTTGTAGGGACAAAACCATGACAACATGACCCTCAAAGTTTTTTAAAAGCACTTCTTCCAGTTTTGATTAATTTGATTTTTTTTTTTCAGTTAAGAACTGCCCTATTTTTTTTTTCTCCTATTTTTTGAATGGAAGAGTTTTTTTGTTTTTAGTAGTATCTGTACATGAATTTAACTGCTATAAATTAAGATTTGGTTTTTTTTTTAAACCACAAAAAAAATTATTAATTCCAGTGATTTCAGAATTTCTGGAACTGTATTCAGAAATATAAAACCAGTTCATTTTTCCTGGATTTGAGTTTCCTCCTACCAAACTACAAGGCAAAGAACTCTCCCAGAAAGTACCGACCTGTCAGACATTTCCTGCTAAGGGTTGTGTTCTTGAGATCCTCATCAGTGTGTGCAAGAGTTTTACATCACTGTCCTCTGGGAATATCCATTTCCATCTTTTTCTGTCCCATTCTGTAAAACACTCTGTGAGAATGAAACGATTCCCTGAATGAAATATCATTTTCTTTGACCTCTTCCCTGCTGAGGAACCCTATAAACACAGAACAAAATTARGTAGCACARAGGAAATGTAGTAATAMTTTTATATTAAAAATATTATTAAGKCTTCTGCATYTGGGGATGTTTATTCCCAGTCTGGAGAGTGGCACTGGTTTTTGGAGGGACCATGTCCCAGCTTTCCATAGGTATGGCATCTTTGTTTTCTCCTCTTCCATTTTTAAAGCTGTGTGTTCCACATGGAAAGATAACTGTTATTTGCAGAGATTCAAATATAAACTTCTATTGCCCACACCTTTTGTTGTGCTCTGGATTTTGCTGCAGAGATGCAGCAAATCCCATATATTTGTTACAGATATTTTATTAAGCTATCATTTAGGAACTGACTCTGGATTACATTTATTCCATGAGAATTTATTCACTTGCTGGTGACCAAGGTTCCTAACAACTCCTGGTTTTGACAGCCTTGGAAGCATAACAGGAGTAGCYTTTCTGGTTTCCCTCATTCCTTCAGCCTTCAAAGGGGCTTTTTGTCATTTTGGTTTGGCTTTTCAGGGGAATATGAGCTCCAGCTCTTAATTCATTTGAATTTTGTGTCCATGCTCAGAGTGTGTTCTGTTGGAGAGAGCTTGGAGGGCTTTGATTCATGAGGTCTCTTTTAATCCCCTTTTTAAGCTGATGTAGGAACAATGCTGAGCAATGCTAATTTCAGTTTTTATGTGGCACTCTTCAAAGGTCTCTCTGAATCTGCATTATTTCATAATTAATAATTATTTCATTATTAGAGTCATGTGCATGGGGCTAGGTGTGAGCAGAGACCAGGGCACAGCACYAGTACAAAAAAGAAGGCAGAGTTTATCCCAAAAACATGACAGCAGCTGCCTATGGAAGCTGTCCTGGCCTGGGGCAAGTGGATAAGCATGTAAAGCCTAAGAAAACTAAGCATTGTTTCCTTAGGAAAGTTTGTTTTACTAATAGACTTAATTTGACAATGGTTATCTTTAAATTAGAATTTACAATCCTTTGCCTGATTGCTTCAAGATGTACTTTTTTTTTTTTTTTTCCTTCAAGGACTCTTAAATCCCAGGAGAATCCCTTTAAACATCTGTTCTGGCTTCTCTAGAGATAGTGATGGGTGGCTGCTGTCATACTGTAATTAGATGTGGCTCCTTGATTAACCAGGATTCCTGTGCCCACCTGGTGACACCTTTTAATGGGAGTGGATAAGTGCATCCCATAAGCAAAATCAATGCATCCATCAAAGTGCTGAAATGGAATTCAGGGCTTGTTTTATTTATATATTAATACTTGTAATTATGTAAGATCTTTCATGTATAATCTTGTGAAGTTATCTCAGGTTAAGTTCATGGTTTGGTGCATCCCATGAAAATAGTTTTACCTCATGAAGGATTAAATTCCCAACATCCAGTCCTGATCTAATGTTAGTCTTTTCAAAGTTGCCTCAGGTTTGAGAGACAGCTCATGTTGARAACTTGTGTGACCTTGTGTATTATTTCTTATGTCTTTTGCAAAAAGGTTCTGGCCATTTTGTGGAAAAGACCAGGCTGGCTTTATTTAGCAGACTGAGCTCTGRTTGGAATTTAAAGGAAAGATATTTTAAGTCCTGGACCACTGCAAATGAGAGCTGGATGTAGCTGCTTGTCTCTGGGTGGGCAGGCTGAGTCTCAGACACCTCAGTCTATAGATTGATCTTAATGTGTCTGTTCTTGGGTTTCAGGTCTGGACCTGAATCCACTGAATGTCTCCAGCATGTGCTGATCATTAAACTGGAGTTAGAGTCATGAGAAAATGCACTGGAAAACTTGAGGCTGGCTCTGAATTGCCATTCAAGCWGTACGTGTGAAGAGAGGCTACCAGGTATTCACACTTGATAGATCATTCACACTTGATATATCATTGCTTTTTTTGCTTTGCTGGAGCAATGGATTCCAGAGAGGTACCAGATTATCTCTGCTAATCCAGTGGCCAATTTCTAGTAGCAAGAAAGAAAAATAATACTACAGCCTTACTTCCTTGTGATGGTGATGATGGGGCTGTGACAAAGGAGTTGGTGACTTTCTTTTCTGTTGAAGATGCCACTTAGGATTGAGCTTGGGAAAGGATGAAATTCTCAATTACTTGGCTGAATCCTCTGCACAGGGAAGCTGGGTTTGGAGATGAAACACTGAGTTTATACTCCATCCCTATCACTAATCATTAAATACACACGAGGAGTTGTGACAGATGGGCCACGTTCCACAATTTCAGAGCATATTTCAGAATTAATTGTGCTGACAACATTTTAGAAAGAGCAGCTCCAGACTCTTTTCTCTTTGGCAGCAGTGGCTTTTGGCTGCTGTCAGGCAGATGAACATATTTTYCTGAGTTTATTATTTTGGGTTTGGCTCACATGCTCACTGCACAGAAGRTTGGGGGCTCAGGGGGAGCATTACCTATGTTCATTAAGCAGGTTTCAAATACTTGCASCTATCAACAGCTTTTTACTGGAGTGTCTGTGGATTTAGGAGAGGGAAGAGCCCTGGGACTAGATAAGGAGAGGTGGGAGGGAAGCCTGGAGCAGGATCCAGSCTGTGTTATTGTTTGTGGCCAATATAGATGGCTGTCAGGGATCCAGAGGGCTGAGGTCTGGTCTGCAGAGAATTCCAGCATGGTTTAGTCTAGACTAAACATTTTTGGATGCWCTGAGTCTATCACTCTTGCTCAGATTCCTCTGCCAGGGACTAATTGGAGTTGATGATCGCCTGCCATGAGTATTACAAAGTCCATTTCCAAGGTGGTTTTTTTTTTTTGTTCTTTTCCTTTTTTTAAAAAAGCAGTTTACAGGTTTTGGCAAGWGGCTGGTTTTGGCTCTAAAATGACAAAAATACTTTCAGCATAGATTTAGGCATAACKGTTAATATTCTCCAGATTCCTTCATTGAAAAACCATGCCAGTTACAAACAAACAAAAATCCACCCCCTCTCCAATTTGATTAGCCAAATTTACTTTCTATTCCTTTCTTTTCAGCCTGTAAAAGCTCTTTCCTCCAGGCCTTGAAATGCAGAATGCATTCTTTCATTCTGSTTTTGACAGACATCCGTTATATGGTTCTCCCACAGAATTTGCATGTTGTGGTGGGATTTCCAAAGCATTCCCCCTCAGCCTCATATTTCTGTGGTTGGAGTCAGCAGGATCAGTGTTAGGCTGACTCTGGACACCCTGGAAATCTCCTTCTTGCTGGGACACTTGGCTTTTTGTTCTTTCATTTCTTAAAAAACACCTTATGGGTAGACCTTGAATACCTTTACTTCATTTTGTGTTTTTAACATATATTTCTTGACATTAAGAACAAAAGGAAGATGATGTATAGTGTGCTAAGATGGGTGTTAGGAATTGTTGAAGATTTTTAAAAGGAGTTTTGAAGCACCTTCTTAACTCATCTTCAACTTTGTCATTTCTAGGAAGAAACCTTAAGGGCAGATATTTTAATGGTGGCTAATCAATTAAAGCCTTTTTTTGAGAAGAGATATCAGAAGCCAATCACTATTAAAATTAAAACTAGGGCATTTCTTATGAGGGTTTTTTTTGTGTTTCCATAATGCAGATTCAGAAACAAGGAGATCTTGTACGAGTTGTGGTGTTTTTAATAATAAAATTGCATTTTTTAATGTACATTGCCAAATCCTTTTAGAATCAAAGCCAGATTTAGAAGTAGCTGCAAGAAAACTGCAGAAGTGGGGAAAAGGTGAAAAACAGAAACTTTACAAAGGAAGATGAATTATCACATAGAGATGGTCAGGCTGCTGCCTCAAGAAATGGTGTTTATATGCATAAAGTAGAGATTGGGATTGGGATTAGAATATGGCTCTGACTGGGATRARATGAAAAGTTGCTGCTTCTCAAAAWTCTTCCAGAAGCTAGTCAAGGTTTGAAGACTGGGATTTAAAAGATCTAATAATAATCATCCTTGCATATAATASTATAAGAATCAGATAATTACTGTCTTCTCTTTGTGTGGTAAAGTTAAWTTGGGTATTAGTCTGAAAGTCCTAGCTCAGCTGTCTGGCTGGATGGGAAGAAATGCAGACTCCCAGAAAAGGTCTCCTCACTTACTCATGGTTTTTCTATGGTAAAGCCTGTTTTGTGATGAGTCAGGCACTTCTGGCTTGCATTTTGTGGGATAAAACTCCTGACATACTGTATTCCTCCTGTCGCAGTAGCAGCCCCTAGAAATCTTGGGATCCTCCAAGTTTATTCCAGGTCTCCTGAGATTTCTGKGGAGTCTTTGGAGCAGCCAAAGCAGTTTTCTCATTGCAGAGAAATCTTCTCCTGGAGGGTCTGCCTTGTGTGCCCTCTGATTCCTTGGAAAGACTTCTGAAGAAGTGACAGCTGACCGACCCTAACAGGATCATGGGAATTTGACTGCTTGATGTTCCTCCTATAGATGAGGGAAATTATTGAATGTAAGTACACACAAAGCAGAAATGAGATGCAATGAGGAATAGAAATTCCAGTTTGASAGTGTTGCCTGTCAGTCCAGGTGAAGGTCAAGGTAAAAGGTTTTTGTGATGGATTTTTTTTTAGAGTTTGATCTTTAAATAAAGCATTTGCGCTCACTTGTAGGAGCTTAGCCAGTTGTGTGCCCTCTAATTACATCAGCCCAAGAATGGAGGTGTTGGGAACAGCACCAAATACTSCAGGAGCTGCCAAGAGTGATTTATTCCAAGCATCCATGCGGAATCTTAGCCTGTGCTGAAGTCACAATGTATTTTAGCAGTAATTCTTTGACTGTCTGCTATGGGTTTAGTTCAGTCATGGCCTTGTAACAGGCAGAGTGGAAAATGCTGGAGAAATGCCACATTGCAACTCATATTGCCAGAACTGGAAATACTGGGTTCTTATATTATTGTAAAAATGAGCATAGAACAGACCCAAACCAAGAACCCAAACAATTTCTTCTCAAATAGTAGGAACAATGAGATAAATAATATTAAATAGCACTGCTCCATTAAATCAATGAATTTGCCTTGATTTACAGCAGCTTAGCTCACAGCACATTTCTTATATTAAAGCGAGCTGTACGTGGGAGATGTGCAAAGGATTTTTCCCTTAAAGAACCCTGGGATTAAAAAAAAGAGAAGTAATAAATGTACAAGAGGCCTTGTCACATGGTTTGAATTTACCTGGCCCRTAGCCAGCAGCCATAGGTTTGATTTGTATCCCAGCAGGTCAGTGCAGACTGTAGCATTTCTGTTAAAATGTGCYTAAATTTGTTACAAGGCAGCATACACATGGAGTATGTGATCAGTTATCAATTTTAATACAATTTCCTTACAAAAATGGGCAGGGAGRCTGCTGTGTGCATCCCTGTGGCCTGTTTTGCTCTTTCTTCTAATTTATGGATTTGTAGTTTTACTGTACTTAAACTCATTACCTACTCTAAATTCTTCCCAAATGGCAAATGAGGGAATTTCATGTCATCATCATAAAAACTGAAACATATTGTAACAGAATGAATCCATTCATTAGAAAAACAGTTTRAAAATCAATCAATGTAGTTATTTTAACTAAGTCCATAAAGGCTAAAGACTGTTTCTAGGCTCAGGTGATGSAGGTGGARGACAACATTACAARCCTATAGCAAGTTTCATCCCTTGCYTCAGAATAAGTCAGAATGAGTAATCTCTGCTTTTTCTTTAAATGCTCAGCACATTACTTGTTTATTGTCATTTTTCAGTTTATCTCTGTCTTCTGTGTTTGAAATCCTTTGGAATTTTTCCCTTCATAGAAGCAGGATTAAACCTACTMAAAGCCAGCAGTGGTATGAAAAAAGACTACCAGGCAGACTTTAGCTTCTTGGGAAAAGGAATTTTGGTAAGGAGCTCTACATCTCAGAGTACCATAAAGCCCTCCTTGAAATTGGGAAGTTTAATTTTGAACTGATGAAGATCTTGGCGCTGTCTCTGGTGATTGGCTCCCCACAGACTCTTCTTCTGCCTTCCTGCTTGGGCCTTGGTTAAATTCTGAATTCTGAGGGGAAGCCTCAGAAAACCACCACTTTAGCTATATTTATGGCATGGTATTTTTTCAGAAACCAATTGATGATAATTAACAGAGAGCAGCAGCAGCACTGTGCTTCATTTTTACAGAGCAATAACTCCTTTCAGAGGCAGTCCAAATTTAAGGCTGATGACAGCATTATTRTGCAGAAAAATGGAGGTGTCATTTCTCTTCCATCTCTCAGCCTGGGAAGGAAAGCATTTGGTGTTCACAGCAATCAGGACAGAGTTATTAACATATTAATAGAGAAATAATATTTTCCTGTCTCTGTCCCTGGCTKAGCTTTGATGCCCAGCCTACCCAGGCTGCAGCTGAAGTCCAAATTCAGCCCTAGAGCATGAGCAGGGGGGTCTAAGAGTGACAAAATGAGTTAGAAAATCCAAAAATCAGTGCCTACCAAAGAGGCTGCTGCTGTTCTGTGTTTCTGGGCTGCAGGATTTAAACATCGAGGAAGAGGAGTGAAAGAAAGGATAAACCTCAAGTTTACCTGCCTAGTGTGGGAAGGATAAATAAATGGCATACAGGTGATGAGGTATAAAGTGATCAAATGCTTCCTTTTGGGTTCTTTCATCCTTTCACAGGTGATGAGAACAAAGACATACCTGAGAAAGTCCAAGGGSCTTTGAAAGGATGCTGACTAAACATCTGTGGGATGTTGAGGAGCTGACTTCAGCACTGTGGAATGAGAGGAAATGCTGAGGTTAGGRTTTCTCGTGGGATTTTTGGGTGGTCACTGACCATGTCTGCACCACTGTGCTGTGGGGATCAGTTCAGACTCCTCTTTAGGGAATGCCTCGGTGACTTTGTGGTGTTTGGATGAAGGGTGGGCACCTTCTTAGTCTGGRCTATGTACTGCTCCATGTCACCAGCAGCCAGCATGGGCAGAGGACTGGGAAAATCAGTTCTGTGAGCCAGCTTGGCAAATYCAGAGTTTGTGTTAATAAGGATACAAAATTTAGACTTGGTGTTATCAGTGGGATGGGAGTTAGGGAAGGGTATGTGATGTTTGTAGGAGAGGCACAGAGATGAGTTACCTGGGCACAGAAACCCCTTTCCATGTTATGTTRCACAATATTGATGTGATTGTGGGACAGTGAGAGCACTTGAGTCTTCATCCCTTYCCATCCTCAGTCCTTACAAAGCTATTGGCACCACTCTGGGCTCTCTCACATCCTTCCCCAGCAGAAAACAYCCATTTTCTGCTTTGTGCCCTCCTTGGGAGAAGAACAAATTGTTGGGACTGTTACTGCTTCTGCCCTTTGTTGTGACCTGATACTGAGGGGACAGACAGACATGGGGAAGGATGACTTCTCTTTTAAATGACTAACTGAGAGAAAAAGTCATAGCTGGCACCAGAAATGAGAGCAAATCAATGGCTGTGTCTGGTGTCAGGGAAGAGGCAGGAGCAGCAAAGCTGCCTCAGTGTCTGGTGCAGTGTGTGTTGATGCTGCTGTCTGCCTTTGGAACTCATTTACCAATGCATGTGTGCTTAAACTGAGCTCAGTGCATGGGGASAAGGTCAGTGGATTTGGAAAAAATCCAGAACTCTGCACAACTGACCGGGTTTGCTGTGCTGAGGCCATCAGGGTGATCTRTCTATGGGTCTGTGTGAGGTATCCATGTGGCATTAAATGGTCCATTTACACTGGCTAAGTGACAACTGGACACAATTTAATGTATATCACCTTTTCCAGTYTCATGAGAGTGAGGTAAGTCCACTATTGCCATTTCCAGTCCAACCCTGCAGTATCTGACACTGCCCTAAGTAGACTGAGAAGAATCCCATATTCCAGCCTTCATCATGGTACAGGAGCACTTCAGTTGGTTCTGCCATCTCTGTTTTGTTTTGGTGTGGAATTGTTGAGRTAATGCCTTGGTTTAAGGGAAATGAAGTCAGAGTTAGGGAAATCCCAGCCTAGGGGCTGTTCAGACATTTGAATGTATTCCCTTTTATATCATTTCAGTGGGAGAACTTTGGGAAATATCAGCTGCCTCTCTCCTTATTTTATTTTTCTATGGACTTTTTCTTTTCATTTTGTRTTCAGTCTTAACTTCTAAGTAAGTATCTCTGCCTTTCTCATTTTTCTGTCTCTGCTGTAGTTTCAGCTTTTCTTGCTTTCCTAGAGCTTATGAATTCATCTGTGTGAGAGCAGTGGCATGAATTTTCTGTGTAGATCTCAGAGTGAGCAATTATTCTTAATAMATCCAGAGTAAAATCCACAGTTGTATCATTTCAGCACAGCTCTGTGTCATTYCAGTAGGAACATCCAGCTGAAATGGATGATGCTTTGCCAGGATGTAAAAGAAACCTTTCTTAGGACAACAATTCTCCTTCATCTGGAATTGTTCCCTTTCTTATTATATTAATACAGGTTTTTTTCAGCTGGTTGTTTTAACTCTTTTTTTTTTTTTTTTTTTTTTTTTTTGAGGATCAGCAAGATTTCTGTATGGGGTGTTTATTTAAAATATTTTACAATGTAAGATATACAGATCCAACTTGAGCCTCATTAAAAGAATTTTGCCAAAAATGGAAAGCCTTCAGAGGCCTATTAGAGTGAATTATCCTAATTAAAAGCATGAATTCTGTCCTAGCAGCTCAAACTGCTTCAGTGGATCTGGAATTTTCCCAAAACCTGCCAGAATTTAAGGACCCRTGTCTGTCTGGCTTCCCTTGCCTTGTAACCAGGACAGAGAGCAGCTAAGTGCTGTCCCTGCCAGCTGTATATTCAGAGTATCATTGAAACAAAATGCTTAACTAATAGCAGAAGCTGTTTTGGCTTTGCTGAGCGTGTGTAGGATATTTTTAGATAAAAATTATCCTTGCTAARAGAAAATATTTGCTTTTCTTCCTGTAATAATTTCATACAGGTGAGCAATGGGAATTAAAACTCATACCTTAGTCTCTGTAGTAAGCCATTCAGGAAGATGGAGAGCAAGGAAATGAAGGTCCAAAGCAATCAGAACTGTCATTTTGAATGTAGTCTCCCCCCTGTTCTTGGCCCAAGGTTTTAGGTGAATGTTCCCAAAGAAAATARTTGCTTTGTGTAAACTAGCTCTGCATTGTCTGCTTTAATTGTAAAAGCATCAAGTGGCATTTCCTTCTCCATAAAATTCCCTGGCCTCATATTGCCAGATGTGGCCATAAGTCTTACAGCTGTAAATCAAAGCAGTCCCTTTCTTCATCTTGCTGAAAGCTGCTGCTCTCTGATGCTCTTTCTRTTTGTTCCCCCTCMAAATGAGAAGGTATTGTTACAACAYGGTAYRTAAGCATAATCTCCAKTTCTTTTCCATTTTTCTGACAYTGMTAAGCAGTTTGAAATGGTGCTGTGTTACTGGCAGTGCTCATATGGGATCACAACAGCCTGGAATGTGCCCTAGAACCGATTCCCAAAGCACCAGAACCRTGTGKGTGARTCTTCTGGCACCTCCTTCYCTMCAGAATTCAGTAGATTTTTGCCCCTCTGCTTTATGCTCTTTTACGTACTGCACATGCTGATGGCATCACTGTGATCCTGAGACCTGCAAAGAGCTGCATATAAAGCTGGAAATTTAACTCAGTCCTTTTGAAACAGGCACCCACTTGCAAATTCAAATCACTTTCCATGTAGGATGCTGCATAGAGCAATTTTTCAATTCTAGATTTAACATGGAAACCTCATTTCTTATTTTCAAAATTATGAAGGTGTCTTGTACTTCTTGATTTGCTTGTTCTGTGCTGAATATCCTTTCTTGCTGCTGCTGTATTTTTTTCTGCTGGGGARCCACTTGGAAAGTGCTCATCTTCAAAGTAATTTTCACCTCAGTTGCTGGAGTCTTCAGAACATTYTACTTTTCCTAAGGCATAAGTCACTGCAGGTTTTCTCTTGAATTCCACCCGTGCCAGCTGATAATATTTGGGTACTCAGTCCTTCCTGAAGAAAACATTACTGGTAGCCACATCAAGCTTTGTTTCTTTTGCTGTACAGTTTTTACTAGTAAACAATATTATTCATGCCCAGTGGCTATTATAATGATAGTATTTTCTGTTCCTCTGGGTCTGACATTTCTAGAAAAGCATATTCATTGCTTTWTTTGTTTTATACAGAGGTTATTTATTTATTAAACCATAAGGAGTTAATGGAGAGGTTTCTTCAGTTCTGTCATGCTGGAAATGCTGTCCTAAAAAGGTTGTCCCTGGAAGGGATTGAATTAAGTGAGGTAAGGGATGAGCAAAGGTGCAGATAAATGTMATGTCTTGATGTGACTGCATGCAGCAGCTGCCAAGTGAGTTAAATAGCAGCATTTCTCAATGCAAAGCTGCTCGAAGCTGATAATTATTGTGCCTTTGAGAAAGCAAAGCCCTCTCATTATAAATATGTAATGAACTATGAATCCCCATCTCAYGCAAAACTATCTGAGATTAAATCTTTTTCCAATTTGCATTGTTCAAGTAATTATATCTCGCTGGGGTCAGAGTTTGGATGATGCATTCCCAGCCCTCGCGTTTATTCCCTGGCTCCAGGAGCAGACCACAATGTCAAACAGCTCAAAGAGGTTTCCTATTGACTCTGTTTGGGCTATTTTCAGCTGTGCTGCTCCTTCCTGCAGTCTGATCGATGCAGCCCTCAGAAAGGTTTCTCCATTCTGTGCCTTTGCCTTGTTTCCTGAAGCTTTGCTTTCCAAACAGAAACATCCACTTAAAATGCAGAGTCTTCTTTTCAGCTGCATTCCTCGGAGGGATCTCTTCCCAGTTCCAAACAGAAAACCACAGCTAAAACAGTAACAGAGAGCTGGTGTGCATAGCGAGGCTCAACATCTGGATTTGTTAGGATGAGCTGGCAAAGCACTCTGCAGGGTTTAGGAGCAATATTTTCTGTCACCCTGTATGGGTGCTTCATCCTGCTCTCTGTGACAATGGGATGGCCAGGAGAGCAGGGTGGGATGATAACAGAGCTGAAACCTGTGAAGGGATTACAAAAGGTCTTTGCAAATGCAAATCCATGTCATTCCCAGCACCCCAAAGAWGCCCAGAGGCAGTTGCCTCATTGTTAAGTCAAATGTGCTGTACWGAATGCCGGATGGTTTCAGTTTGTGTAAGTCCATGTTTTATTTGAAGGCCACTTCCTCAAACAAATKATTCTTCTGGAATACGTGCAAGATTTAAAAGATTTTCCTCCATTGGTTTCAGTTGGGAAGAGGCCAGTTTTCCTCTGAAGGGCTGTGCAGCGCTGGCTCCTCTGTTCCTGTTCCTCTCATCCCTGCTGGCAGTCAGAACTCTGATATCAAGGTACAAGGATGCATCACAAKTCCCCTTATCTGGAGTCTCCGTGGGCATTAAATCCTTTTGGGAATCGCTGTGAGCCCTTCAGGGCCACTTGCCTTGAGCTGTGTGATGCTGTATAAATGTGAGATGTCACCCGGTGCTGTGCTGGTGATGCTCTGTTCTTCCCAACCTGCACTTCCAACCCATTGTAAATAGTGCAGAGAAATGATCTGCCTGTGTTTCTGAAGTGGAGCTTGACCTGGATGTCATTTGCTTTGCTTCACCAGCCTGAGCACCTGAACTTCAATRACTGTTCTCTTAAAAAAGGAACAGGAGCTGGAAAACCTAACAGATGAGGAGTGATATTTGGGCTGTCATGCAAACGGCCCGCACTGGATGAAACATAAATTATATGCATTTCTAATTATATTTTTTTTTGTGTCTTTGCAAATTTTGCAGGGTTGTCTCTTGTCTGTTCATACAGAGCCTTGCACAGAGGCATCAGCTGGACTTGGAGGATGAAGCATCACCTATTACCTTCTTCAGGTATGCTTAAATGTTGGTTCAAATATCTTTGAGATATTTAAGGAATTTCTGATGAACATGAGTTAATTTTCTCTCTTGTGCTGCATGTAGTGGAGCTTTTATATGTCTGGAACACGCATGTTTCCTCTTCCTAGAACAGATTTCATGGCTTACATCGCTGAGTGACCTTTTTTGCAGCTGTTTTTGCTCTTTAGCAATTTGTTTCTTTCCTCTGTAGCTCAAGGAAATGATGGAAAATGAGCCAAAAGCATCGTGTGAGTCAAGAGGCRCAGAAGTGCTGCCAAGCATGATTCCCACCATGGCAGGAGTGGCTCCTGGAGTGGTGAATTCCAAATTCCCCATTTAAAATCATGTACTTGAAACACCCTCAATTTGGTGAGAAATAGAGAATACTGGATAATGAAGTTARGCTCTGATTTTTACATGTTGATTTTAAAGGTAGTACCAGCCCAATATTTTCCTGTGTGCATTTAAATGGGAAACTGTAAAGTTTAATCTTCAAAAATCAGGCCCTACCGAGGCTCATTCAGTCACAACCATTAGTTACTTCACAAAAAAAATATTTTCAACTCAGGATTTTGATGTCACAGTCTTGGCACCAAATTTCTTGTGGTAAATCTTGTTTTGTAGCTTGGACTTCACCCAGCCCTGGGATTATACCCTGAGCATCCTATTTGAAGGGGAAGAGCATATTGTACTGCATACAGTGCAGAAAGAGCAAGCCAGCTTTGCTCTTAAGTGTTGAAAACTAATGTCCTGGGAAGGTAGCTGTACATTTTCTCAGAACTTTAGGCAGCAGAATATTAAAATGTGTCACTTCTGGACACTCAGGCTTAGATCTCTTTTTTTTTTTTTTTTCCCCAGCTCATTCTTGCTAGATTGTAACCCTAAATTTGAGTTCAACTCCATGAAATAATTTTAAACAGTATTAAAACTCAAAAAAGAAGCTGGCAAAATGTCCAACACATTATTAAAAATGAGCTGATCACTTCAGAGCCCAAGATTAATTGAAAATTCCTAGGACAGGATATAAAATCAGTAAGACTTTGATGGGCGTTTTCCCCATATTTTTGCTCCTAGGATAATTCTTAAGAAAAAAACAGGGTTGTTAATAGGATTTGTTTTGCTTTCTTTCATCTAGAAAGCTGATGGAGGAGCTTTTTTGTTTTCAGTGCAGGTGGTTCAGGCCTGAAGCACCTGGATAACCTCATGGATGCTGGGTTTATCAGTGTTGATTGCAGGTCTAGCTCTCTCCTTCCAGATCTGGCACAAACCTTGAATTCTGTTTATTTTGTTTGATCTCAAATCCAGCATTGTATCTTTAAGGAAGAGCTTTAAAAATGGTTAACAGTTAAGTCATTAATTTGTCTCATTTTCTGCTTTTACACTTTGAATTCAAATGATTTGCACACAAATCCCCCTGCAGAGCACCAGAGAGGCTAAAAAAGTTGGAGCACTTATATGGGATTATAGATACTTGGGGTTCTTCACGTGCTTAAGTGTTCTGCCATAGCACAGGACTTAATTCCCAAGGAAAACTTCTGACAAATGTTTTAGGGATAATCTGGTTCATCTATGTCACACTCAGGACTTTGGGCATTTAATTCAGAATCATTATTCATCGTGTACCTGTGCAGTCAAAACCAAATCTTTGTATTTTTTACTTAGGAATCATTCCTGTGCCTGTGATGACATTGCTTTAATGAAATTATGTAATGGAAGAAGTAATTTGGGTATTTCCTTGATGTATTTTGAAGGATTTTTTTCCCTGTGAGGCTGATGTTTTTTTCCATCATTTAGCTTCAATTTAATCCATTTTCAAAAGATCTTAAGTAGCCTGTACAAGGTGTAGTGTCTCAGGATTGAGATCATAGTGACAGATCTTCACTCCCTTGATTCTTAGATAAATCTGTGAAGTGAGAGAGTGACCTTAATTCACTAACTTGAGATTTTCATGTTGGCAACAGTATGGAAGGAGGTTAATTGGAACATCTTAATGGGAAAAAAGGTTTCCCCCTTGCAAAATAGTGAAGCTTGGGTTGTATCCTAACTGGCAGCAAAGGTACTTACTTTAAAACTAGGTTCTTTTAAATAACAAGTGAAAGGTTTCTTAGCTTATCAGTCAGMCCAAGAAGGCCAAGGGTCCTTTGATAAGGATTTTCACAGACCAGTAGAAAGTTTTCCAGAGGCATTAGCTTGGGCTTTGTATTTTTTAACTGTCAAAAGAGACTCCTACCCTGCTTTTCACTGGGTAACTCTTCTTTTTGTTTCTTTTTGCTGCAACAATCTCCTTTATTATTATATTATCTGTATTTTAGGCTAAAACCTGTAATCCCTTGATGTACTGACCCCTTGGTGCCTGGTAGCAATCCCATGTTTTCTAAGGAATTACACCAGTTTATATGAAGGATCTTACCTTTTTCTATATCACTGTATGAAAATGTGAGTGCTTTGGAATAGACAGAGTGGGATTCATTTAGATCTGTTTATATTTGGGAAAAGAACCTGGAATASAGCAGTGGGTCAATGTTGTGCTGCTGACTCAGGCAGGATGGGCAGTCCCAGCCCAGGCTAACACAGATGGAAGCTGGGATGAAAAAAAATTGAGAATGAAGGGCTGGGAATGATATTATAGCATAAATAAAAATGGGAATAAGGAATAAGTCAAAGCCCAGGCAGTTCCCAGTCCCCATCACCTGCAATCAGCCCTGGACTGGGCCAACCAACAGGACTCACTTTTGCTTCCAATGACTCAGATAAAGGCTGAGTTTTAGAGGATATTTTGGGCAAAAAAGGACAAATATTTTATTGGACAAAGGTGATTGTCAGGCCAGAATATTTCAGGATATTTTCAATGCTGATTTCTCTGTTTTTTCCAGTCCTCAGGGCTCTCTTGGAGCCTTTCAGATTATTTGCGTATTGGAATTTCTGAGCAGAGAGAGGAAAAGCAGTTCTCTTCAGCAGTGGGGAGTGGGCTGCTTTTTCAGGAAGATTTAAGGTTTAAGAGTTTAATTTTACRTGGAGCCTCCCATACTTGAGGCACACTGTGGTGTTTTATACGCTGATGTGTTAAATATAGAAAGGTGACTTAGGCAGAACAGAGCAGCCACTCAATCACTTGACACATATAACACTGGACAGTAAATGAAGGGCTCCAGTAGCAGCAGGGCTGGGATTCCTGACCTCTGGCAGCTCCCACTGGGCTGATTTTAAGGAGTTACTGATTTCTTTCCACTCTGCCCCTTATCAGAGGGGACAGCTCACTGCTGGCACAGACGATGGAGAAAGGTAACTTTAAATCATCCTCACATGCCATTCCTGAAGTCAGGAGTTAGAGCCAGACTGCAGCATAGGAAAGCTTTCCTATAAACGTGGGACAATACTTAAAAACCTTTTAAATGACCTGAGCTGATGAGTGGTTTTGCTTTTTAAATCACGAGAAATAAGACCTCTGTGGAGTTGTAAAGAAAAATAGATAAAGTTCTGCACTTTTTATTGTGTTTGGCTTTAAGGTGTAAGATTCAGTAAAGCYTGCAAAGGACAAGGAGTTAATGTACTGCAGAAGATAAAAGTGGTGTTACCAGAACATGCTGCTGACAGCCCAAAGCAAGCTAAAATTACTGAGAATGACCAAAAAGTACCAAGATTTCAGTCACGTTTTAGTATTCTATGTGATTGCTTTTTARGCTTTTCATAAAAGGTTTTAAGAATAAGGTTAAATATTCAAGTTGCATATTAYGATCCTAAAGTTCAACAAGTATTTTTTATTAAAGAAAATGARAAGTCTGTGCCTGTATTTCTAGTAGGGCAGTTAGAAACACCATGTCCTATGAGACTGAAGGATGGCTTCATCCTTCACAGGGAACTTCTCTGGTTTTTATTTTATTTTATTTTTATTTTTATTTTATTTTATTTATTTTATTTATTTTATTTATTTTATTTTATTTTATTTATTTTTATTTTATTTTTTCAGGGGTTTTTATTTTATTTTACACTGAATATTGATAAGCTAAATCCTTTTTTCCTTTTCTTCTTTTTCTTAGAAATGCAGTTCTTTGCTAAGTCACAAGCCTTTGTGTGATGTACAAGGCTTTGGCTTCAAGGGAAAAATGGTATTACTGGATAGATTTTGCATAATGTGCCATGGTTTCATTTGGGAAATAAAATGGATAGAGGAGAGATTGAAATGCCTTAATTATGCTGATCTTGATAGTGTGTATTCTATTAGAAACTATATTGGACWAAGGAAACCTGAGTGTTTTCTTAGTCATCAGATGCTTTGCCATTTTAAATTATTTTCAGAGTGAAGTGTTGTGTTGCTGGGACAGCTGTACAGCACCTCCTGGAGCCAGAGTTCACTAATACTGAATATTCAGTCTGGATAAAGGTATGCAAATGAAATAAATTTATAAACAACTGTATTTTAAAGTATTTGTCCAGATAGTTATCATACAAAAGCAAGAGTGCACTTTAATATCCCCAAAAGAGAGAAGAGAGGACATAGATCACCCTCATTATAATGAGGAATTTGAAATTCAGTGCTTAGCCTTTGCAATGGATTTTAGCCATTCCTCTTTATAAAAACATGGTATGCATATGAGCTTGTCCACTCTCTTTTAGGTGATAAACACTAAGGATCTTGAGTAACCAACAGAAACAAATCAGGAAACAGTGAAGAAAAATATATTTATACATATTTCCCCATGTATTTTCATGTGCATGCTTACCTACAGGTAACTACACCACTAACTTGAGGTGCATTTCAGGTATTGTCCTGCAGTTTGTTGCAAACAGGCTGGAATGCAAATGAAATCCTAAAATAAAACCATATGTAGTGTTACAATCCTTTTTAAAATGCAGACCAGAGCATTTGGCCATCCCGTGCTGTCCCAGGGGTTTCTGGAATTGCAGCCTCTGTGCCATAGCACGGCCCTGGATAACACCAAGGTGGTGTCACACACTGCAACCAGAGCTTGCAGAGCAACCTCCTTTAACTCCACTGGGATTTCTGCACATATTTATACACCCAAAGCTGAACACGTGCATGTTCTGTCTGCACAAGGTCTCCTTTTCCTCCTCCTTTGTTGCATAGGATTGGAAGTCCCTGCTGCTTCTACTTTTCTTAAAAGTTGCATAGAAGTTGAGCAAAAATATTGCTGTGGTGGTTTCCCCTCTGAAGCAGCATCCACGGTATTGTTTCCTCATCTTTTCCTTTTCCCAGGAACAGCAAGCAGCTCTGCTGAATGGATTTCTCCATGAGGTTATTTTGCAGGTCAGGAGGTTAGCTCACTTTTGTCTTTTTACTCAGCTGCTGCAGAAGAAATGCTGTGTGTGTTCTCCTGAATTGTAAAGGCTGGTAAGAAAGAGAAGCCCAAGTCGTCCATTAATCCACGGGCAAAGTCCTATTGAAGCTGCTGCAGTGAAAGCTCTCACACGCTGCCCTGGAAATCACCCCGGCCATGACGTGGTGAGATGACCCTAGGTAAGGTCAGAAGCTCACTTCTCATTTCCATTTAAGCTTCTGTTTTTTAAACAGGTTTTGGGGGTGTGCCTGGTGGTTCTGTTGAGTTCTTTAAGCAGCTGGAGCCCCATTGAGAGGGAGCGGAGAAGGGGACTCCGGAAAGGCAGGGTTTATCTGTTAAACCTGCCCCTCTCTCCTCTCAACTTACTGTTGTTTTGGCTTAAATATTTAATGGCCGTGACCCCGTGTGAGAGCAGCAAGTGGTATCAGGACTTGAGCTTAAGCTGCTTTGCAGAGACAAAGCACCTGTTTTAATTCCTTCTGGAAATGGAAGTGATTTGGAAGCATCCCAGCAAATTGAAGTCAAAGTGGTAATTGTTGACTGCCTGTTCACTTTTCCCAGGAATTGGAAGGATCTGTGTACWCAGCTCAGGGCTGGGTTTYCAGGAGGGCTCAGAGAGCTGGGCTKCTCTGTGCTGGCATCCTTTGCYRGGTTGCAGCAGTAATGCCAAGATACATTTAATGGAAAGACAGTGGCTTCAACTATTTGTCTCATTTCTTCATACCCACTGATACAATAAAGCAAAAGCTGATTTGCAGAGTTCTGGTTAGGCTGGATGCAGTCTGCACCCTCCCCTGGTCCTGGTCAGAGTGCCCTCAGAGCAGCTTCCAGGGACAGTTATCTCTTGGGATCCAACTGTGGTGCTATCAAAGAGCTGATAAGGGACTGCTGGCAGCCATCTCCACTGCTGCGTCTGCTCTTGTGTCATGGAATGACCTTTGGAAGGAGAATCAAGGAAGGAGAAATGRCAACAACTACTGCCATGATGGATTTGGAGTATTTGCTGAGGTCATCAGGTAACTCTTTGGAATAAAGAGCTGTGAGCTGGAGCTGAATCAGTCATTCCCACTGGCTGGCTTAGGGATCTGATTTTCAGCAGGATATTACTGATTTTTACTTTTCTTTTTCATTTCTGTGGTGCAGCCTTTGCCTTTTCTGGGTTTAGGGAATCATGCCAGACACATTGATTTTCATTACATTTGCGAGGTAAGGGAGTGCTGAAGTGTGCAACTTCCCTCCTCCGTATGGAAACTTGTTTTGTGTGGATCAGTGACAGAAAAGCAATCGCCAAAAAAATATTCCCTTTCTTTCTCTGCACTCACCCCCCAAAATACTTCTCTAAGAATGTGACTAAAACCAAAACATTTTTTAAGTTATAAAGGAATAGGGATGAGCTGGTGTAGCCAGCAGGAAGTGAACATAGAATGCCAGAATTGTTTTGGTTGGAGAAGACYTTTGAATCATCAAATCCAACCATTAACATAGACATGGAGGAGGGTTATCATTTCTTTTGAAGATTCAGGGTGGCTTTAATTGCATTTTATTTGGCACGCATTATTTTAAAACTCATCACCTCAGAACAGGAACAATTTTRTGGCATGTGCTAATTATACAAAATKCACAAATACTGTTTCTTTTCATTCCCTTTTAGTTTCCACAATGTCTTTTACAACTGTAATTTTCACGTCTCACATTTTTCTCTCCAGTTTCCTGTGTCTTGTGGTTAAATCTTGACGATAAATCTTGCTCTGCTTTGTTAGAAATAATAGGTGTGCTATATTTCTTCATTTAACAACCTGCTAGATTAATAGTGGCTTTAAAACAATTAAATATGGTTGTGTGGTTTAATATTCCCAGTTTTAATGCACCATGAAGGAGAAACTAAAGGCATTGTCTTTTATAGAGTGCTTGGTTTCACGTACAGTCTGGCAATCTTTGTCTGACACTTTGGTACTGGGATCTGCTTCTTATACAGATAATGCCAAAAAAAAGCTTTCTGTGCATGTTTGGAAATCAAATGGCAAGTCACAGAGTGGCAAATAAGGCTACAATTTTAGCTGTGGTATCTCAGCCAAAAAGGCTTTGGGACCTTTGGGATGCATGACTGGAGCTGTCACACAGAGCCCCTGAGGGAAGTGGTTTTCTGCATTGTGGCARCAATGTTTTACACAATAAAATGTGGTTCCTGTAAATTCACCTTGTCTTTAAGGCTGGAAACCTGAGCAGCTCGTGGTCACACATTCTGCTGGGTCACAGAGCAGGATCTGGGTCTGCAGTCACCCTGCCTCCCCAGGGATTCCATCCTTGTGTGGTATTTCCATCCAGGCAGAATCCATGGAGGAGAACCTGAGGCACCAGGAATTGGTCATTAAATCTGTCAGGATTTGACACCAAAGCTCCATGGAGGAGAACCTGAGGCACCAGGAATTGGTCATTAAAGGTAGTCAGGATTTGACACCAAAGCCAAATTTCAGCAGAAAGAACACAATTAATGCTTTCCAAACTGGCTGCTATTTACAAAGGTCATCAAATGCATATGTAGATCAGAAACTCAATAAATTRTAATGATTCCTAAATATCAGGAAATGTCACTGCAAAACTGAGCATTAAACCATGTGTGTGGACAGGATCAGTGAAGACTGGGATTTGTCTGGACTATTCTTAGATATTGTAGTTAAGTTACACTACAAATATTCCTGCTAGATGTTACAGTTGAGTTTACGAGGGGCTCATCTCAAGAAATTAATATTTGAAGCTTGGATTAAATAGCATTGCAAGAACTTCTGATCAGTAACTTCTCTTGGTGCTAGAGACGGAATATTCTTTCAATTTTCTTAGTTTGAATTCTCGCTCCAATTAAACCTGACTTTGAAATTATTTTGTTGGAGACACCTCTGCTSTGAGAGGATGTGAGACCTCAAGGAGACCATGTTCCAGATCAGGTAATGCCATATTTTATTCCCCTTAGTATTAYCCCTGCCAAATCCTGCTTCAGGCCCCAGTCTCAGGTTCATAAAATATTTGTGGCTGTCAGTCTCGTGCCTCAGCCAAAGTTGCACAGATGCAGAAAGCCCATCTGAGTGATTTTAGAATTGCAAATGCCTAACAGATTTTTAACAGCTCTATATATGTATACACATATGTAAATACATATATGCATATGTATGTGTAACAGAGTAGAAATACTCACAAGATGGTTTCTCTGATAAGAGTGTGCCAAACTGGGCTGTTGGAGATGAGAAATGTCTGGAACTGAACTTTCAAATAGTGCTTCAATTTACGTGTGTTACAGGAGTGGCACTTGCTGTTGTTTCTTATCCGAAATCATGAGGCATCTAATTTTAACACCTTATTTTTGCTTTCTTGCAATTCTGTCAARCCTTTGATCAACCACAAAGCAAAGTATCTGCCCTGGCCTCCAGCTCTGCCTGTTGTGTATCTTGGTTTCACTGAGGTTTAGAAACTTTTGAAGCCATTTTGGCCACGTTTAATTAGGAGGTAACAGACATAACACTGTATTGTAAGAATGTTTTTAAGGGCAGATAAATAGCTTTACTAGAGGTCAAGAGCTTGGATCCCTGTACCTGTGGAAGGGAGGGGGACAGGCACTGGGACTAGATAAGGTCRAAGGTCTCTTCCACCCAAACTCTCTAAAGCTGCCCTGTAATTCAAATATGTGAAACACCTGAGASTGTGCAGGTTCTTATTTCAGCCCAGCAAACAGGTGGTTTGCATCCACAGCCCAGGTGGATCATATTATGGACATTCAGGCTGTGTGCAGCTCTGCACGGTGTGCAGTGCGGTTCTGCTGCTGCCTGGTGAGCATCGTGAGGGGAGGAAAATGGGGAGGAGCTGCACGGTGAGTGAAATACCTTTTAATACATTTTAATGTTGAATTATGGAGCTGCTACTTCACTGTAGCTCAGCCTTTCAGATTCTGGCCTTTCCCAGAAGTGGCTTCGTGCAGCTGCTGGTGCTGAATGTGACAGTCCGCTCGTGTTTTATGTGCAGAAATGATTGTACACTTGTACTAAGAGATGCATTCCCACTCTCTCAAAAAAAAAAAAAAAGGTTTTTTTTTGCTTTGTGAGAGGATATGCAGTTCAGGACCTCTGAAACAGCAGGGCTGCTATGGTTGGAATATTCAAAGTTTCTCCTGAAAATGGAGAGTGAAGCTCTCCTCTTCTTTAATGTTGCTGTGACTCAATTTGGATTTCATAGAATCAGTATTTTCCTTTTCACATAGATAGGATGATTTCTGTCCGGAAGGTCAACTTAAAAATTATTGTTAAGTTGTTCACGTGTATTCTGAGACCGTTTAGCAGCAGCAAATCATGTTTTTGTGCTATGTGAGGCTAACAGAAGCTGATTTTGGTTGTGATGTTTCACAGAAGTGGTAATGCTGAAGGTACAACAAAATGGTTTTAAATTGCATTTTAAATTGGGATCCAGATGTTCATAGCATTGGCTAATTCYGACCCTGAAAAAATGCAGTCTTTGGTTGAACACTGCTGGAGTTCAAGGATGTTGGAGTGGTTGATCTCTGCCTCCTGGAAAGTGCTTGTAAAGGTTTTGTTTTCCCCTTGGGGATGCCCCAGTGCTGTCTGTTAGCAGCTGGTTATTCACAGCTTCGACTGCAGAACATCTTTGGGGAAATGAAGGTGTACAGACTGAGWTTGTACAGATTTCTGGCTGTGCAAGGTGCAGTGCAAGTGCATTTTGGGTTCTACCCAGGCTGGGCACCATTTCGTTTTCTGTTGTGTGCCGAGCTCCCAGCTGGTGGGGAGAGAAATTGTTTTGTTGTCAGACTCGGGTGCAGTGGGACCTTTGGAAACTGTTGAGACAGGACACAGGGTGATGGTTTCCAACTGAACAAGTATCACTTTGAGTTAGATATAGGAAAAGAAGTTTTTTTTTACCATGAGAATGGTGAGGCTGTGGCACAGGGTGCCCAGGGAAGCTGTGGCTGCCCCATCCCAGGCTGGACAGGGATTGAAACACSCTGGTCCAGTGGCCCCCATGGCAAGGGTTTGAATGCGATGAGCTTTAATGTCCCTTCCAAGATAAACCATTCTGGGATTTTCAGASTCTGTAGCTTTTGCCGTCTGCCTTGGTTTTGTGGAATATGGAAGCCTGGGGCTGTGGTCCCGGGCTGGAGAGCTGCTTTGGGAGTCGCTGCCAGGGTGTGATGCCGGCAGCGATGGGATGGATGGATGGAYGGACGGACGGGAAAGTTGYTCCTCGGTGGAGTTGGACGGGGAGCGCCGCGGGTGCACAGCCGTAGGATCTGTGCCTGAGCAGATCCGGTGTGTGCGCGGAGCCGGGCGGGTTCCCCGCGGTTCCCGGCGGCTCGGGCTGTGCCTGACGTGGAGCGCCGGCTCGGCGGAGGCGGAGCTGCCGCGGGTTTATCAGCGCCGCGGGTCGCGGCGGGCGCACAGCACAGCACAGCAACAGGCGGCGAGGGGACCCGCCGCCTCTCCGCCCGCCCAGCCGGCCCCGGCCCCGGGAGCCGCCGCCGGAGGGCAGGGAAGGCAGCGGCCGGAGGAGGGAGCGGGCGGAGCGCGGCCGGGGCCGGGGCAAGGGCGGCCGCCTCGGGATGGTGCTCCTGCCCCTCTGGGTAGTGGCAGCCGCGCTCCTGGGGGCCCGCGCTGCGCCCGGCAGGCAGGTGAGTGAGGGGGGGAATGCGGGGAGCCTGCCCTGCCCTGCCTTGCCCTGCCCTGCCCTGCCCTGCCCTGCCCTGCCCTCTGCTCTTCTCTTTCCCCTCGCTGCCCCGGGGTCCGCGGTTGGTACCGGTCCGGGGCGAGGACACGCTGAGACGGACGGGCGGCTCTCCGCTCTCTTCTGTGCTGCACACCAGCATCCAAGCAGCCTGGAGCCGGACACGGCATCCCCGGCACGGGCTGGCTCCTGCAGCGGCAGCCCCTGGTCCCTTCCCTCTGCATCCTGTGCCCCTGGGTGCCCTAACCCTGCAAGAGCAAGTACCAAGCCGACGGTGAGCTGACCGTGACATCAGGTCGCTGCCACCGTTCCTGCGGTCACTGTGGTCCGGTTGGCTTTCCCATTTACTAGCCGAGATACAAAGAGCTGTCAGCTCGCTGCTTCCTCTCTGCACCCGTGCTTCTTAGAGCTCGTCGTCCTCCTGCTGTTAAATCCTTGCTTTGGCCCCTGAGCTTACTTTTTGGCACGGTGTCACGATGTATAGAATGGGTCATTCAGAATCAGGATTGCTTAGCAGCTCTATTTATGTTAAACTTGCTRTGGGCTCTGTTAGTATATTGGTGGGAACAGCTGTTTATTCAGTTAAGGAAGAATTGCTATCCCTGGAAATCAAATGCAGAAACATATAAAATAGTGCAGCACAGACCAAGTGATTTTTCAGCCTTCTGCCATCCCCCATTGCATAGTAATTACATTAACAACTTTGCGAATGTGTTTCTTTTCCTTCTCTTCTGCAGGCTGGTAAAGARCAGCAGATCCAAATAGGTAAGTCCTTTCAGCTATTATTCATTCCTGCTATCAAAACAGAAATAAAAGAATTAAGTTCAAAGACTAGTTATTTCTGGAGAAATGATCTGTATGCAGGCAAGCATTCCCTGTGTGCCCCCCACCATTGCCACCCAGGAGCATTTGTAGTTGCAGTGACGTGGCATGGCTTGAATGTGCATGCCCTCTTGTGCTGCGGTTTTGCATCTTTATGTGTCTGTGCTTCTCTCCTGAAATACAAACTGATCCAAGTTGTAAAATCTGTAGCTGGTCCCTGTTGCCTTGTAAACTGATAGACTTGGGTAAGAAGGTGTTGTGCAGCGAGTTCAGGGTCCGTGGTGCAAAGGGGTGCTGAAGGGAAAATGTGCCTGTTTATGCCTGTGGGATGCTTCTTACTGAGACTTCCCARAGACAAGAAGCTTCCTTTGATGGGGAGGATGCATCTGTGGATTCATTTCAGGAGATGTGTGTTCATTTAGACTAAGGGGTAATTGGGTGCTCCAAAGGATGCACGAGGTAGTGGAAGGATGTGGAAGCTGGCATTCCCAGAGCRTTAGTGCCAGGGAATGCCATCCTGTGTGCTCCTGCCTAACCCAGTGTGAAATGATCCTTTCACCATGCGGGTGCTGAGCTTGTGTCCCTGCACACGAGTGCAGCTCTTTCACAATGGGAATGGACCTCAGGCAGTTCTGCTTCCACTTGCCATTGGACCTGCAGCCCTGAGGTTTTGGTTCAGGTTTTGTTGCAAAAAAGAATTTCAAGCATTTCTGTAAATTTTGGAGGTCTTGTCTCAATTTCAGTTCTGGCACTGCGTCCTTCTGGGCTTAGGTTGGTTTCCACCATGATCACTGAATRAAGGGAACAGAGAAGTGAGGCCATTTAAAGCTAACTGGCAAATAGAGGGGTTTTTCAGTGGTATGCTGATCCTGTCTTTTATTYCTATTCTTTGCATGAGAAATGAATTGTATTTGAATTTCAGAAACCAGAAGCTATATAGGAATGTGTCTTTTAAATTACACAGTATATAAAGCAAAATTCCTGAATCTGGAAAATAACTTTTTGTCCTGTAATGTCTTCCTTTCTTCCATGGCCCTGGCCCTGCTGTAATCAGGGACATTTGGGGCTGAATTTGATCCTGTAAATTCTGATTCAAATAGTACAGAACCACAGAGATGGTTGTCCTAAAATGGTTTGGGTAGGAAGGGACCTTGAAGTTCATCTCATTCCAAAAACCCTGACATGGGCAGGAACATCTTCCACTATCCCAGGGTGCTCCAAGCCCCATCCAACCTGGCCTTGAATACCTCCAGAAATGGGGCAGTCACAGCTTCAAACTATGGCTTACTGAGTTGAGATTTCTAATGATTTGGGGTAAAAGCTGCTTCTGAGGGTGTTCTGAGGACAGTAAAAACTGTCCTACTTCTGAGTCCCCACAAAGTATTGCTTTGCATTGATGTTGTGTATTTTGAGTTGGCCCCGGGCTGGCTGCTGTCAGCAGCTGATCTTTTCTTGTAGCCTGAAAAGTCATTTAGGGAAATGAAGGCACGTAGGGGTTTATTTTTGTTCAATATCTTGCCAGGCTGCAGCACAGGGATAGCACAGTTAATTACCTGCATTCACACACCGTGCRCTGCAGTGCTGGAGCTGTCAGGACCGAGTTGTTCTGTGTCACTCAGCCTGAAGGTGCTGATGCTGTGCTGCACCTTCTCCTCCACACAGCTCAGCTCTGTCCCTGCTCAGTGCCACTTCTGGACAAAACCTGCCACACAACACTGAAGCACCTGCAAAGCACCTGCAACTCTGCAGAGGCTGCAAAAACACCACAGCAACCATGTCTGGGACAAGTGGCAGTGAGGCAGAGGAACAGGGAGTCCCACATCAGCCTCTCTTCTTGCAGTCCCCTGTTTTCATTCACCTCACAGTGTCCAGATCCCATAGCCCCATCCCTTTTCAGGTGCAGACGTGAGTGGGAATTCTCGAGGAATCTGTCCTTCTTTTCTGTCTGCTCTTTCTCTCTGGGCATTCCTGCCACCTAAAGGCAGCCAGAGAGCAAATGGTAGTTCTGGAGTGATCCAGGTTGCTGAGAGTGTCCACAAGTGCTCTGTTATTTTGGAAGCCACCAGGCAGTAATGAAGAAGAAAAGGGTGATGACAAAATCCTTGCTGGTCCAGTTATCTCCACACTATCTTGTTTTATTAAACATCACCTGGCTAAGTGACCAGAGCAGCTCTGTGCTCATCCCACTGTGCTTCTCTGCAGGGTTTGGGACTGAWGTGTGATCTCCCACAGCATGGCACAGTCTCTTTATGGCACTGCTGTCCTCTCCATCCTAGAGCAGCAGGGTAACTGTTTCTTCTCCAGTGCTTCCACTGCAGAGCTGGATTTCTTCCATCCAGCAGTTTGCTTGTGTCACAGCTGTGAATTCCAGCAGAAAATTGCATGGTGCTGCTCTGGAGATGTCACCTTAGATCCAGTCCTTTTGCTGAGGTACCTGATCTTCCTGACCCTCGAGTCACATCCAAACTCATTTTCCAGTGGGGCAGCTCTGGAAGATCCCTGACCATCCCATCGTGTCAGTGTGGAATGGACTCAGCAATAGAGCAGGGACCATGTGGGTGGGATGGTACCTGGATTCCCCCACATTTCTTTTCTTGGGTAGCTTGGTTTAGACATGAAATGATTTGGAACTTTCAGAAATTCTTCATTCTCCAGTGATATCGCTGACTTCCACACAGACTGTGCTTTTGAAACCTCAAGTGAAAGTTTAGGCTTTTGGCATTCTGCTGTGGACAACCACCTGAATGATTTTTGATCAATGAGTTTCACAAAATMTTACGCATAAAAAACATTGCTTTTYAAAATGTGGGTGTTAAAAAAAGGRTAGGATTTTTGAACCTCYRTTGACCACGGCTGTTGTGGAGTGCAGAGACAACTCTAACAACTCTTGTGAACCAGTGGTGTTAATTCTGCACTTTCATGAGTTTCTGAGGAGAAAAAAAAGCCCGGACAGCTCTCTTCAGAGGCATTCACTAGCTAATTATATTTTGGCACACAATRAAAGAATGTGATGTTCCTTCTTAAGTGCTTCCTTTCAACTTAAACATTGTGCAACTGGAGCAGCATTTGAAGTCCAGATTGAAAAAAATGAAGAAAAYTTACAGTTAAGTGCTTTTCCTCTTGCTCTGATCAGCACTGTCAGCTTTGAATTAGCAGAGCAGATCRACTCTGAAATTTTAGCTTAGGAAAGGGAACACCTACAGCTGGAATAGCATTTCCTCAGAGCGTGCAGTTTGTGGAAAAAGGGTAATGTAAGTCAGCGGAGGAGTTCAGATGTCTTTGGGATTCAGTCATGTCCCATTTAATTTTAATTGCCTTTGAACAAAAGGCATTTCCTCTTCTAGCTCAGCATTTACAGACTCTGGAAAAGGCTTTCGCTGACTCAAAACCTTGACAGTTCTTATTTTCCACCCTTTGTTCCTACCTTCTCGGGCTAGCTGGCTGCTCTTATTAGCAAAATAGCTGGTTTTTTTTTTGTTTGTTTTTTTTTGTTTTTTTTTTTTCCCAGCCTGGGCAAATGTGGGAATTCTGCTGCAGGATGTGCAGAGCAGTTCTCAGTCGTGCGGTGAGCACAGAATTTGATCACCAGACTGTGGTCTCTGGCACTGAACATTGTGCTTTAAAGAAAAAGGAAAACAAACCACGAGGAATCTCRGCGAGGTAGAAGGTGGAATGTCAGCCTGGGAATGAAATCCCAGTGCTGAAGCACCGGGAATGTGAGGATCCATGTTTTTACTTTGACCCAGTTAGAATGTACAACCTAGCAGCTCTGTCTCCTGGGCATGGCCTGGTGTCTAATTAATAAAAATGACTTTAGAGTTTTAATTTGGTCCCTTCTCTAAGGAGATAGATTAACAGTGTTGGCTCAGAATTCCCAGTGTTTTAAATGGGAATTAACCTAAGGATATTGGCCTAATTAGGATGCCAGTTTTAGATCCTGGTCTTGTGGGTGTATGGCAAAATAGGTGAAACCCACCCTTTGGGTGCTGGCTGTAGGATGTGGGGTACCAGTGGGCTTGAAAATGATTTTTCACATTCCTAAGATATAATATTTGTACATTGAGATATTTATAATGCAAGAATTTACACTGTGCATGTGCATCCTACTAGTACCATAGGTTGTTTTCTGTCAGATTCCTCAGTAACTAGCTGAAAGAACATTTAAAACAGTTCTGTGAAGCCATTAGGAACATTTTCATGCTGAAGTTACTTGTTGAATGAGTGAGTCTCTTGAATTCAAATCAACTGAGCTTCTCCTCTATCAATTCTCATATCAAGTGTGATCCACACTGGGAGCAAGTGAAATTTAGCTCACTTAATTAAGTGTATTTATTTGAGGAATTCTCAGTGRCACTTGGCACTAGCATCAGAGCTATCCAATCTTGCAGCTTTTCAAATGCAATTGTCAGGAATATCACCCTGATCCCTCTTTCACCAGYTCTCCAAGGAAGAGAGGAGTTGGGAATAGCTATTTTTGTGCAAGGTGTCTTTTTAACTCTCACACAGTCAAATACCAGGCTTGGACTTAGGCCTTGGACCTRTTCAGAGCAGTGGTGTGGCTCACAGCTTACAGCCAGAAAATCAGACACCAGAATCCTGATTTCTCCCAGATTACAGAGGTCTCACCAGAAAGATAAACTCATGATTCCATGATAAAAGAGGAGCAGTGACAAGTTAATAACCCAAACAGAGATCCTAAGTTGGGATTTTTGGAAGGGGAGGTACGAGGCACAGGGGTCCTTCAGTGTTTGGGCTCATTGCACACTGTTGATCTTATTTTGGGTGTGTCTCTTGGCAGAATTCCGAAAGAGCCGGCCCAGGCCCTATGGGCTGGTGATTCCCATCAGCACCAACGCCGATGGAAGCTACAGCTCCACCATCCTGTCAGCGAGTCACCCGAGACGCTCCCCACGGGAGCTGTCCCACAGCCCCAAACTGCTGTACTTCAACGTCACCGCCTTCGGGAGGGACTTCCACCTCCGCCTGACACCCAACACCCGCCTGGTGGCCCCCGGCGCCGTGGTGGAGTGGCACGAGGAGCCCACGGAGCCCGGGAGCCATGCTGGGAATGTCACTGGGACATTGTGGAGGAGAGAGCCCCTGTGGAGCAACTGTGCCTACGTGGGGGACATCAGCGACATCCCCGGAGCGGCCGTGGCCATCAGCAACTGTGATGGGCTGGTAAGGCTGCTCCGTGGTGTTTGGGGTCTTGGGTCACCCTTTGTGCTCAGCTTTGGCTGCTTTTTTTGGGTCTTGGGTCATCTTTTGTGCTCAGCTTTGGCTGCTTTTAACCACACATTGCTAATGATGTCATTTACTGCACTTCGTTCCTTAAATCCTAAGGAATCCTAATACTGCATTTCATTCCTAAATCCGTTAGAAAACATTCATATCCTGCCGCTCTACTTTGCAATAATTTCTCTGAGATTGAGAAACAAAGTTCTGAATGTCGCAGGTATGAGGGACAGAAATCAAACCTACACGTTGTTTTTTATTTGCACGCGGTATTACAAACAGGAAAATCAGTAATGAAGATGTTTTCAGTCTTAAAAGGTGACCTTTTGTTAGCTGAACTTAGAATTTGGTGTTCAAATCATCCTCTGTTTCTCAAGTGCCAAAATGGTGGGCTGCCCTGTTATCCAAGAACAGCAGCACTGAGTTTTAAGGGGTTCCTTTACAAAGTGAGCAGGTGTGTTGTTCTCTTCGATGCAGTTTTGTTTCATGGGGAGGTGTCATGAGAATGGAGTGGTTCCCATCTGTAACAGGTTTGTTTTGGGTGCATTTATGGACATGCAGAGTTTCTCTGTGGCTGAGCTGATGTCCAAATCCCAGAATGAARAGCTGGGCACACCTGGAGCCCACACACCATCAAAACTCCTTGAACTCCCTTACTTAGAGAAAGGAAATGATGGTAGTGATTGCATCAGAGGTGACAGCTAATGTCAGTTTGGTGTGTTTTGGGAGTTTTGGTGTTTTTTTAATGGGAGAATCTATTGCCAGTGTACTGTTTTCAAGCAGAACCCTGCCTGGCTGATGTATTTGCAGTAGAATCCTCCTGCTGAATGAGACCCTGCACTGGGAGCTGSATTGGAGCAGTAAGGCTGAATGAAGTTTTGTGTTGAGACAGCACGTGAAGACCAGAAATTGGATTAAATGGAATCAGATTAAGGAGTGTRCAGCTCTGTCACAGATTGCCATGTGGCTGGCAAGCTGCTCGTGGTGTGTTTTCAGTGAAATGAAGCCAGAGGGGAACTTTAGGAGGGGGAATGGCTTCMCAGTGACARAGRGCAGGGTTAAATGGGATATCAGGAAGAAATTCTCCCCTGTGAGGATGGTGAGGGCTGGCACAGGATGCCCTGAGAAGGACTGAGAGGTAAATGCTCCTGGGTCACTCTTGTCCCAGTGCTCACCTCAACCTTTGCTTGGAGCTCTAATTGTGTGAGTGTGAAATAATAAATAAATTTTCAGGATTATTTATTTGTTTTTTTCCTCCCACATCTCCCAGGGTAGGAAAAGGAACCTGCAGTTCCCATCTCTGGCCTCTCTCTTACTGTGCTGTGTCTCTCAACCCAGCTAGAATATTTAATCCTCAGTGTATCTTAAAGATGTGAAGAGTGGGATAACATGGCTTAACAGAAACAGGAACAGGAGTGAGAAATTTTAGAGGCATGTTGGAAAGATCTTCCACTTCAAAGGAATTTAGACACTCTCCAGAGAAGCCAGCTAGATTCTGAAATCTTGGGAAAAASTGATGGGAATCACTGGGGTTGCAGTTTGCACAATGTGTAGCTTGTAGAAGGAGTTTGATATTATAGTAAGAGAAAAGAGTGCTWAATTTTGGTTGTTTGATAATAAATATGTGAAATAATTGGCATTTGCACTAGTAAAGTAAGATTTTGCCACAGTCTCTGCCTGACTCTAAACATACATTTAAACCCCCAAATACATGAACATTTTTGTTTTGAAATAGTTTACATATCTACTTTTGCAGTGGAAGATGTCTGTATGCTATCAGTTTTGCAAATTCCTATCCTCACATCTGCTTAATCTCCCTTGGAAATGACCCTGGGTTTTTTTAAAATGGTTTATTTAAAAAACCACATGCATGTGCCTGCACTTGTCATGGCAGAAGAACACTTCATTAGTCACAGAGGAGCTGCCTCTTGTCTTCTTCACTGTGTGTCAGAAAGCTGGAGCTTCCGCAGGTTTCTGCTGTTGTTTAGTCAAAAGAGCAGTATTTATTGTCAGAATCCCTCAGAATGGAAGGTGCAAGCCTCAAAGAAACACTACAAATGGTTTAGATTGTAAATAGAGAGAAGGTAGCAAGCCTAACATTTAGAAATAGTGGCTAATACCTCTTTCCAGTTGTTGTGGTATAGAAAATCATCTGTTTCTCAATTCTCTTCGTGCTTTGATAACAAGCTGTGAGCAGGTGTTCATGTGTGATGCCTCTTTCTTGTACATCCACTCTGAGCTGGATCATCAAGAATAAAAAAAACCACCCAAACATGCTCAGATCTGTCATTTGTGACAGATKATTCCTCACTTGCATRTTGTCATCCCTCTTTCCAMGGATATGGAGATGTGAAGAAACATRTCTGTGCRTGTTCACAGCTACTTTCCTGTGGTAAATCTTTTGGAAATACAGGCTGGAGGATCTCAGACTAGAGATAATTGCACAGGCTTTAAACTTCCTTCAGGAAAAGCCTTAAAAATCTGCAGGAGTAGTGATATGTGTGATGCAAGGAATTTAAGGGCATTTTGAGTTGTTTCAAATGCATTTTTGTTACCATTGTTTCATCAGGACTGAACTACTAAGGCTTATTTCTTGCTCCTGTGTTGGTTCTGATCTACTATTTCAGCATGATTTCAGCTGGCAGGACAGAGTTCCTAAATGGAGAAACATCTTCCTAGGAGCCTGTGGTGTTTTATCCATTGGAATGGCATTTTGGAGACAAGCACTCGAGCTGCTGCTGAGCATCTGCACATGGGAAACTTGCTGAGTTTAGGATTGGGATTAGGATTAGGATT